AATGTAAGTTCCATTCATTATTCCCTGATTGAAGTCTGGGTGGTAGAATCATCGGTTCGGCAACCACTTTTCGCGTCGAAAGGTGCGTAAGTGTCAGTTATGACGCCGCCGCCTCTTCCGGAGGGACCGAGCCACGCATCAGTCACCATCAGCAACGGCCAGTGTTAACGTTTGTTACGTCTAGATTGCACAGCTAGTTGGGGTAGCACCTGACTGCACATCATACTGTAATCTTCGTCCTAGTCGGTGACAAGCCACCCAGACCCAAGCCAGGGTCCATTTTAGCATGGAATCCACCACCGGACCTGACATGCCTGCCACCCTCCCGCATCCCGGGACGCATCTATTGTACCCCGCCCTTCTTGCCCAGATCCGTACAGCCGTTCCAAATTTTCCTCTAGATCCTATCGTTCTCCGGGCTTTGCTCCTTTGTATCATTGCTGGAAACCGAAACTTGATCTTACGCACTCGCGAAGAGGATGTCGGAGTGTTATCAAAGCTTGTCACGCTGGTCAGTCCATGTGGGATGATCTGTTTCATTCTTTCGTTACTTTTTCCATGTCTCACTTGTCACGGTCGTGCTAGACATTCGCTACCGTCTTCGGATGCACAGCTCACAGAGTGAAACTGCACTCGGACGCAAGATCTCAGGCACCCTCAGAGCTCCTGAGGTCGCTATTTCTGCCGTCGTCAGCCCCTCCGCCTACCAGTAACGGCCCCTTCAGCCCATCCTTGGCCACATCGAAACAACGTGACAGGCACAAACGCACGCCCACTGCAAGTTCACGGATTTCGACGGGTAAACAATCTTTCGCACAAGCGTCAATCACCACCGTGCGCAGTCGAAAAATATCCTTTCCGAGATCATCGTCTTATCCCAGTGAAGCAAAACCTGCGGTTGTCGCCCGCCAGCCGTCACAGCCTGCTTTGACAGTTGAAGATATGTCTTCTCCCGCTGACCATTTCGGTCCAAATGCGGAAGCCCATACGACGCGGCCTAATCTTCATGCCTTCGGCGTGCGTACTGAACCTTCTGTTCCAACTATAGCCCCTAGCCACCATCAGCATCAGGTGTTGCACCTAGATAGCGAGATAGTGAAAGTACCCAGTGCGGTCGTTGTATCCGGGCTTGAGTATACCAGCCTCTGTGCTCAACGAGCAGTATTGAGGACATTAACGAGGCGGAAATTAATTCTCGACGATGATGGTTCTCCCGAAGGAGAGGCTGCAGGCTGGGACGTCCCAGAGAATTTCATTATGGTATTCGTCTGCCGTTCGGACGAGAGGGAGCGACCCGGAATACACAAGAGTCTTGTACGTGATTCTTTCGCCCTGTAAATTTCAACAGCGCACCGCTCAAATGGTTCATTTCCGCGTAGCTCGACAGGTTTGCGATGAGCACTCCTATCTCTGTGCAGGCTGCCACAAGGCTAGCAGTGCGGCAGCATCTGCCACGAGCCCCTTCATCTCCGTCGACCGCATTACCTTCTCCTTATTCGTCTGGATCATCGCCCGCACACTACTTTCCAAGCATGATCCTGCCTGCTCCGGTACCCTCGTCTCTCCCGTCTGTACCCGCATCACCCGCACCACCCATTATACCGCCTTCTTTGGTGAAGAATTTGCAGGCCCTCAACTTGACCCACACGCATATCCGTGCACCTATAGGCCTTTATCTCTCGGATTTATTTACTGCGACACGCCATTACCCCGCGCTCGACGCGGCGCTACTCACTGCACGATCGCGACATGACGCGGAAAGCCTCGTGCGTGCTACTCGGGTTCTCGGAGTCGACTTAACGGGTGCCGAGCTCGTGAAGGATACTGCGAAGCCCGACCCCGATACGAGTGAGGAGGGCAGCACGACCGAACGAGCGTATAGCCGGGAAAGTTTTGAGTCAGACCGTACGCCCAACGGAGTTGCTGTGCCACTTCTGTCTCTGTCAACGGATACACGATCGAATGCCAGCATGTCCATGGAGTTGGGTGGGGACGAACGCGAAGAAACCCCTGAGCTTGATGTTTCGGAGGCGGATATCGCACGCATCTTTCCGAGGGTGGTGTCGCATCGCCTGCGGGTGCACGACTCGCCGATGGACGAGGTATTGAACAGTGCTGTGCGGGGTGCTGTTAGGAGACACGGTCAGAAGGATCAGCGAGGTGCTGAGGATGAGGAAGGCACGGATGAAGAGCTTTGGGAGAGGGACACCATCAAGGATATATTAGTGAAGATATTGTCCGAGGTATGATCGTCGAAAAGCCTCCCGAGTGCGACGACTCGATAGAATATACTCTTGTGACTCGGATATACACTGCTGCAACATTACTTTTCCTTGAACCTGCAGGCTGGGTACAACTGCACCCGTGTTCCAATATTCCTTAGATACAAACCGCCATAATTTCCGACCTCCGGGCTGCCTGGTTTCTCTTTGCTTTTTCTCGCAATGACGAACGGTCCGCCATCGTCTCAAGCTGGGCCTTCTCAGCCGCCTGCATCCGCCCCAAGCACTGGTACTGTCGATCCAGCAACCCAAAGGCCACCATACTACCCCCAGGCTGCCCTCCAAAACACCACCCAATTGTCCGCAGCAAGCACGACTTTGGCTAACCCAACGCAGTACGCCCAAACTCAAGCCCAGGGCCAGGTTCAGGGACAAGCCTCGACGCAGGGATACTACACCGTGAGCTATCCTCCGGGAACGTGGCAGAACGCATGGCCAGTCGCGGGGTACCCCTACGCCTCCGGTAGCGCGCCATACCAGCAACACTACTCCCAGATTCCCTATACGCAGTACCAGTCGCAGCAGTACGCCGTGCAATACCAGCCCCCAGCGAGACCGAAACCGAAACCCGCACCCCCTCCTCCACCACCGAAACACAAGACACCAAGTCCGTCACCCCCGCCACCAGAGTTTCATCGCCATTGGGACGGCGTGATTAGATCTTTTTTGAAGAAAGTAGGGTTGACGCAGGCGCTTAGAGGGTTTGAAGATGATATGGTCGTTATGAATCCGGATTGGGAGAGGCGGAAGGTACCTGGGGCGATTGGGGAGCTGATGAGGGATCTTTTGGTGCGTTTGATGGTTGGCGCTTGATGTGTGCTGAACTGACCCCCACAAAGACTCTGGGCAAGTCGGAAGATGGAGAGGAGCCGAGAGAACGACCACTCGAAGAGCGGAAACTGGACTACGTCCGTGTCGCTGGCGGTGGCGAACCTCGTTCTCAGACGTCAGTGAGTTTTTGTGGGCGCTGCTTCACGCAACAGTGGTCCGAGACTCTTGCTTGATCCGTGTACTTATGTATTCACAGGTCATCAAATCGATATCTGCGTTTTTGGCTCAGAATCGCGCACGCAACGACGCGTCGAATCGCGTCGAGTTCCTCGAGTCCCTTTCGCAGAAACGTCGACGGTTGCAGCTCGACGAGGATAGTACTGAGCCGATACCATCATGTGCGCGGGCGGACGCCAAGCACCTCGATCGGGATGTGCAAATGAAGTATGATATTGCGAAGAATGAGGACGGTCCTCTTCGGCGAACGATGAAAGGTACTGCTAAGGGGAAGCAGCCGCCAACGCAGGCCAGTCTCTCTGAAGACGCGCTTTCCGAAGACCAACCAGCAGTAGATGAGCGGGTGAAGAACATAGAGACGCATCTCGCAGTACGCTATGGTGGGTGGCCAGTCGTTAGGGTAGAATGTTGCTTATACGATGCTACTGCAGTACCTGGACCCCCGAGTACACTTGCCGGTCGTCTCAAGTTCCTCGAAGATCATATCGTGCATTTGGAGAAAGAGTATCCGCCCTGGGCGGCTCTTCATTTCAACCAGCCTAACCGTGGTGTACGTGCTACATGCTCCTGTCCCTGATCGTTATTGACCTTACTTGTACCGTCCCATCAGTGGCCGCCACCTCCGCGACCTACGCCAATAATTGTCCCGTCTCATATCACCTCGAAGAACACTGCCGCTGATGCCAGTGTCACCCCGACCTCGAGTATAAACGCTGGGGTGCCAGACGACCCAGGTAAAGTCAAGAACAAGAATAAGTCAAGCTTGCATCGAGCTGTGATGGAGAAGCTAGAAGTGCAGAAAGCGATGACTGATCTAGCGGGGAGGGGGAAGACTGGTTGAGCCTTTCCAAGTCTTCTCAGTCTGTGTACCTATGATGGTGCTCACGTCACATGGAGAGGGGGTCTCGCAGCCAAGGTATGGTGGCGTCGTCCCAATTTTTATCGCCCAACGCGCAGGGTATATAAAACTGAACACTCGACGAGAATTCCTAATCTTCTTCCCTTCTCTCCCACCACTTTGGGCGCGATGTTTCTCATGAGTCGACGAGGTCGGGTAACGACGGAAGAACGACGCGTGCAACTCAGCAGTTACTTCGCTTCATCCGAGCATAACCAGTGAATCAAGGAAGACATGGATACCACGAATATATCGCGTCTTTATGGAAGAGTTTCGTCGTGTCGCCCCCGGAGGCGGTCGCTGGGTACGTTGGAAAGGCGCTCAGCACTACAGGGGCGAAAATTCTGCTCTTTGAGTCCTCATTCCGTCAGCTCGTTTTGATACCCCTCTCGCTCTTTCAGCGTAAGACAGAGACTCGATGGCCGACTAAGCACGCTGGCAACGTGCTACGGTTCTCGATGATTACTATTGACCTATTCATCACCCCACCCTCGGTTACCAGGATGCTTCCCGGATATGATGCAGAACGCACCGACCCCAGCAGCATCAACATGCAACGTGAGCGATTGGACACGTCGGTTTCAGCCGCACCATATATGCGTTGAAGAGCATATACCAGCCCGCGCATAACTTCACCTCATCGTGTAAGCCGAAGCAATATCACAGGCACCGTATTTTGTCCAACCTCGCTAATGCGACACTGAGACCCATTTGAAGAGCCTTCACAATGGCTGGCTGTGACCAGGTGCCCTGCTATGTCTCGCTGATGTTGAGATGAAAAATGAACATGAAGAGCAATCGGACCAAAAAGCAGGCGCTACCAGGGATCGAACCTGGGTTTCGAGAAGATGCTTAGCCCTCATCACGTGATGATGAGAAACGATCAGAATCTCGAGTGATAACCACTACACTATAGCGCCTTGGACATTGTGCAAAAATATAGCCCCAAGACACGAGTTAAGTTCCGACGGACGTCCCACCAGCAACAACCAACTCCAGCTTCTAAGAACGAAGATCGTGATTTTACCGGATTCGCTAGTGAGTAGCAGGAGCCCTCTGACCAGGCATATTCATCAAGTTTTTGCCACCAGTCCATCCTAGTCGTCTCACCTCAGGCCTGTTGGCATCTGCCAATTGTCGTCGAGACTGGTCTTGAAGGAGGATCTTAACATCCTAAGTCCCCCAAAAATCTACGAGGCCAGAGCAAGTCTACGATACATAATATTCTCGTTCGTGTGTGCCGGGAAGTTACAGATAAATTAGAACTTCTGCCTTTTGTTCTGATGTGTTCAAGACCGTGTCGATCACGACTCCTTTTGATTGTCTGGGCTTGAAGGTGGTGAGAATGGCAGCAAGTTGTCTTAAACAACAATAACATACATCAGTTGACCCAGGCCCGCGCGCTTTGGAATAACCTGAACCATGGACTGGACCCTTTCCATGACTTGGCGAAAGCGGGTGGGTACCAGCTACAGCTCTCCAATGCTACCACCCTCTCGGGATGAGGCATCAGGGCGAGCAGCCTGCCGTCTGGCGTTTGCACGCCAGTGATTCCCCCAGGACTGCCATTAGGATTCAGAGGATAAATTTCGGTAGGGGCACCTTGCGAGTCGATATAGCGCATGGCGACGAGACCGGCGGACTGCAAAGATCGGTGGTGCCTGTCGTTCGCGAACGACACTCGTCCTTCCCCATGCGCTACAGCGATAGGCAGCCTCGATCCGACCATGTCGCGCAAGAAGACAGACGACTGTGTCGCCTCACTCGGCGTCACTTCCACCATAGCCACCCGGCCTTCAAAGCGCTCGCTCGCGTTCGGCTTGAAATCCGGCCAAGTCTCTGCGCCGGGAATGATCTCTCTGAGGTGGCTGAGGAACTGGCACCCGTTACATACAGCAAGCGTGAACGTCTCATTGTTTGCAAAGAATGTGGTGAATTCTTTGCGAGCCCTCTCGTTGAGAAGAACCGAATGCGCCCAGCCTTTCCCCGCACCTAGGACGTCACCATATGAAAAGCCCCCGCACGCCGCAATACCGCGGAAGTCGGCCAGAGACACCTCTCCGCTAAGGATATCGGACATGTGCACGTCTATGGCGTCGAAGCCGGCCGCAGCGAATGCCCAAGCCATCTCGACTTGTCCGTTGACGCCTTGTTCACGTAGAATGGCAACTTTAGGTCGGTGAGTTATGTCTCGGGATGGTGTGGGAGTATAGTCGAATGTCAGGTCGTAGAATAAGCCTGTGTGAGAATCGTCTTTGATAAGTGCGTATTCCTGTTGGGCGGAGACTGGGCTATCGCGAAGCAGCTGCATCTTGAATGATGTCTCTGACCACGCTGCTTGAAGCTCTGCCCTGGTGCTGGAGAAAAGCACCTCTGAGCCGTGGTTGATCGTGAACGACTGAGCGGTAGAACCTTGGTTTACGCGACCAATGACGTGGATGGACGTGGATGGGAACTCGGTGTTAACAAATTGGGTCATCAGCTTCACCAAGTCTGCCTCTCGAACTTGAACAACAGCTCCCAACTCTTCGTTGAACAGTGTCGTAATCGGGTCGTACGCAGAGTGTAAGGCATCCAACGATATCTCCGCTCCTACCCTCCCAGCGAAGCACATCTCGACGAGGGTCGTGAACAACCCACCATCCGAGCGGTCGTGGTACGCAAGTACCAATCCCGGTTCTGCCTTTCTGATGTTCTGGCATGCGAGGAAAAACGCCTTTAAAGTCGCTGCATTCTCCACATCTGGGGCCTCCGATCCGATCTCTTTGAAGACTTGTGCGAGCGCTGACCCACCCATGCGTTCCTTACCGTTTGCAAGGTCGAAGAACACCAGAACTGTTCCCTCTTCGACGTCTGTGCGCAGCTGCGGTGTCCAGGTCGCGCCGACGTCGTCGACGGGGGCAAAGGCGGTAACGATGAGAGATAGCGGTGCGCTGACCTCCCGGTCACCCCATTTCATGCCCATCGACATTGAGTCCTTCCCCACTGGAATGCCTACACCCAGCTCGGGACACAACCCCTCTCCCACAGCCTCCACAGCAGCGTACAGGCCTGCACCTTCGCCTTGTTTCCCTGCAGCGCACATCCAATTCGCACTGAGTTTCACGCGGGAGAGGGAAGATATGGAGGCGGCGGCGAGGTTAGTGAGTGACTCGGCGATGGCCATACGTGCAGATGCGGCAGGGTTGAGGAGCGCTAGGGGTGTGCGCTCTCCCATCGCCATTGATTCGCCACACAGGACGTCGAAGCCGTATGATGCGCGTGTGACGGCGACGTCTGCGACGGGTACTTGCCAGGGGCCAACCATCTGGTCACGCGTGACCAGACCCGTGATAGTTCTGTCCCCGATGGTTATGAGGAAAGATTTTGATCCAACAGAGGGGAGGCGGAGCACACGGTTCACTGCTGCGGACAGGCGTTCAGGAAGGGAAAGGGTGTTCGGGAGGTACGTGGAGAGAGAGGTGTCGAGGGGGTTGAAACGGATTTTGCGAGAGGTGTCTTTCCGGGACATCCGAGGAGGCTTGCCGAAAAGCGTGGACATCTTCAGGCGAATGACGTCTTGCGACAGCAAGCGGTCGGTAACGATAAGTTCTTCCTCTTCGGTGGCAACGCCGACAACGGAGAAGGGACACCTTTCCCTCTTTGCCATCCTCGCGAACTCGGTTTCTTTCTCGGGAGAAACAGCCAGCACATACCGTTCTTGGCTTTCGTTGCACCAGATTTCCATCGGAGACATCGACGAGTCTGCAACGAGCACGTTCCTGATCTCGAACCTCGCCCCTAGCCCAGAATCATGCACCAACTCTGGGAGAGCATTCGACAGTCCCCCCGCTCCAACATCATGAATACTCTGAACGGGATTCTCCTCCCCACGAGCAATGCACGCATCGATAACCTGTTGACACCTTCTCTGCATCTCCGCATTATCCCGTTGCACCGACGCGAAGTCCAGTTCCGCAGAGCTAGCCCCAGACACCTGACTCGAGGCCGCCCCACCCCCGAGGCCGATAAGCATTCCCGGTCCTCCAAGCACAACGATCTTCGCACCGGGGGATATACGGGACTTGAGCGCAAACTGGGGACGAACGTTGCCGTATCCACCTGCAATCATGATCGGCTTGTGGTACCCTCTGATCTCCGTTTTACCATCCTCGGAAGCAGGGACAGACTCAGAGAAGGTACGGAAATATCCAGTTAACGCTGGGCGACCAAATTCGTTATTGAAAGCGCTTGCGCCGAGAGGACCCTCGATCATGATATCGAGGGCAGAAGCGATGTGTGACGGGCGCCCGAAGTCGGTCTCCCATGGTTGTTCATAGCCTGGAATGAGGAGATTGGAGACTGTGAAACCCGCAAGTCCAGCTTTTGGCTTGGACCCCCGTCCCACAGCGCCTTCGTCACGAATCTCTCCTCCCGATCCAGTTGCCGCCCCAGGATAGGGGGAGACCGCAGTGGGATGATTGTGTGTTTCGACTTTGATCAGAATGGGCATGTCCTCGACCGCAGACTGATACAAACTTGTCCCAGTTATTCCGAAACGCGGCGCAGACGATCCTTCGAGGACAGCTGCATTATCAGAATAAGCGGAGATGGTGCCAGTGGAGTTGATCCGTTCTGTGTTTCTAATCATCTGGAAGAGTGATTTGTCGAGAGGCTTTCCGTCGACAGTCCACGAGGCGTTAAATATTTTGTGCCGACAATGTTCTGAGTTCACTTGGGCAAACATGAATAACTCGGCGTCGGTGGGGTTTCGGCTGATGGGCGAAGCACCAGAGACAAATGCGTCGACGAGATAGTCTATCTCATCCGAAGCCAGTGCTAGACCAAGTGTTTTGTTCGCAGCAGATAGACGTTCCCGGGCTGCTACCGGGTCTACTCCTTCGGCATGACGCTGGAGCTCGATCGTCCGAAGGGGGCTTGGAGCTTGATGTTTAAAAATCGTGTCCTCTTGCGGAAGCGAGCGTTGGACGACTTGCGTCATCCGGTCGTGTATGAACGGAGATAATGCTAAGAACTCTCCCTCGGTCAAAGGTACATCTTGCTCTGTTTGGACAACGAACGCGAGACCACGTTCAAGTCTTTCGATGTGCTGCCCTAGATTGCAGATCGCGGATATATCCGTGGCCTTGCTTGACCATGGAGATATAGATCCGGCGCGCGGGAGCACGTATAGGACGTTCTCGCTCTTTTTCAGAGCTTTCGCTGTCCCAGGGAGCTTGATGTCATCTCCATAGTCTAGCAATCGATCTAACGATTTTCTGTGCGAGGATTCTGGGTCTGCGAGATCGCTTTCTGCCGCATTAGATGTGCACTTGATGAGATGAATGCACACCGCATCGATGGACGTGATGTCCGAGCAGATGGTTTGCGCTTTTAAAAGTAGCGTCTGGCGCTTTGAGACCGAGAGCGCAGATGAACCGGGTAGGACAAGCATGGCTATCGATTGCCCGTTTGGCGGGAACGACGAGAGGAATAACGAATACTCACCACAGATATATTGAACAGGTTCTCAGTGCTGCATGTACACTCCGCGGTGGTGGATGGAAAGGATGGATCGCTTCGGAGTCCTGGCTTTCCAAAAGATTCCGATAATCTTTTCGGCTGCTGTGACAAGGATCGGACTCCGATTTCGTGTCTCTTTTCCTTGCCTTTTCGCAACCTTTTCGCAGGATCGTTTGACTCGTTAGTACTCTCAAGTATCTACTGTTCGTCGGGTGTTTACTGCGTATGTATTTAATTTCGTTTGAAACGAGCTTGCAGTCACACAAATTCAGAATAAGTCCTTCACCTCGGGCGCTATGGCATGATGGAGACCACCGTCTAGCACAGTAGCAGCTATGATGCTAAACTTAGGTGGTCTCCATTGGCGGTTCGTTCATCGTGTACGTGGGATCGACCGGGGCCAGTCCGAGTTCAGTCA